ATAAGGTGCTAAAGAAGATTATTAAAGACTGTGCTCAGATTAGAAAGGAAGAGAAGCTACAGGGCGATAAGGTTGTCAAAATCAAGATTAAACCTTCGGCCAAGGAGGATAATGACAGCATTCGTACGTTTTAGATCAAGTCGCTCAGATTTAATTGCATTTTGATTTCGAATGGTTTGAATAGGTCAATCACAAGATGAAATGAATTTTTTTCGCACTCTGCGCATGGAAATTAAAAAGATTGCCGACTTTTTCATCAAAGAGCAGGCTAAGCATATGAATCAAGTCGCTGCTATTGACTCGAGTATCCAGCAAGTGAAGGTTCAATCTTGTTATTTTACGTAGACAATTACAGATTTGTTGTATAATTGACGCGGTTTGATGCATAGACAAACCCCGAGTCGACCGGAGCCAAAACTGCGCTTATGAAGAGCTGCGTCGAACAATATAAGGATTTGCTCTTACTTGAAAACTTTGCTGTGATGAACTTTTGTGGTATTTCCAAGGTACGCACGATCGATTTGTATTACTTGATATTATTTCTTAAATTTGGTATCGTATGTGTCGATTGGAATCGCTTGTTTGATTAAGATACTTAAAAAACATGACAAATGGACAGGATATGCTACGCGGAACAAATTCATGCACACGATCTTGATGAAGCAGCCATTTGCGACTTACGAACCTTTACTTCAAATGATAGACCGTCTGGAGCATATATTTATGCAAACAACTGGCTCTAGCATCGAACAGCATGATGCACAAAAGTTGTATACGTCAAGTATCGGTAGCTCGTCTTCTTTACCGCTAGAAAAACCACTTGGAGGCCTTGAACTTTCAACTTGTCCAGCTGTTGGTCATAGTGCATCCCAAAGCCGTTTACCTAATGAGATATCACCAGGGAGTAGTAGAGATCGCGAAGATCAATGCAGATATAGAGGCGCTGTAGAGTTATCTTCTCCAAGATCCGAAGACGCTGTAACACTAGTACGAGTAAATGCGCTTCGGGATGATGTACGGGAGCTCAAAAAGATTGAAAGTGCTTATGATGGCGATGGAGAATACGAGGATAACTTGGATGACGCCGGTTTTCCAGATGATGACACTGATGTACCGTCACCACGTTTTGGTGGACGTTTGCAAGAACAAAATAGCATCATGCCTACAGTCCCCTTACACGTGGCTCCTACCGGCACTCAATCCGATAGTGATGCTGCAGCGATTGCTATGTTGTCAATGAAAGAAAGTACTGACGTGCACTCATCTGGGTTGAGCGACGGGGGTGAAAGTGCAACGGATGCCCGTCGTGCGCGAAGATCGAAGCGCAAAGCGTGTGCTCCGCTACATATGGAGGGCAAGCGCAAGATGAGTGTCACTGCAATTCTCAATTAGCCACCTGAAGATTTTGTAAGCTGATCCGGCGAAAGTATGGAGCTCAACCTGCGATAGCTTAAAGATCTGTCCGAAGACTTTGTACATCTGTATGCTGAAGTAAAAAACCTGCTCGATAATATGCTACGAAGCTTATGAAACCTTGTAATATTCATTCATTTCTCTCAGGTCTCCTATAAGGTTTACTACATGCAACTCTGCTTCGTGGAACCCACAGCAGACCAACTTACCTTCTGCCACAGCCGTAAGCTACAAAGTTTGGCAAAAGGTACGGCAATATTATCCTACTTTAGCTCAACTTCAGCACGCATACCACCTAATAGTACCGTCCAATCAAAAAGAAAATCACTGCGCAAATAAAGAGATGAAGGGGTCCGAATGCCTGATGAACAAAACACACAGAGTAAATAATTCTCTCTGTCTTGATCCATACTATTTCTTCACAACGTACATTTTGCTCCTTTGCATTGGTATCCACGACCGCGTGCGAACTTTCCTTGCCAGAAGCTCCAATTGCGCCACCTGCTTTTCGCTGACGTAAACCCATCGACTCCTCAGAAAGTTTCTTCACTCGCTGAGCATCAGTATTTGACTTTTGTAACGCCTGGCGGGTCTTGTCCAAGTCGCTCATCAATACATCGCGCTGTGCGGTCAGTTGTACTGTAAATGCCACAAGCTACACAAAATTGTTAAACTTTATCCCTCATTTTTGTCTACACGCTTTTTGACCTTACCTCGTCATATTTTTTACGCAGTCCAGCAATCTCTTGAATGGTTTCTTGACCTCCATCTCTGCTATCCACGCCTTTTGATTTGTCATCTTGCAATAGTGCCGACGCAAGCTGCGCGGGCGTTGTTACCGTCTCTTGTCCCTCTTCCTTTTGAGATCTCAAATCCGAGGTAACTGCTGTCTTGGAAGGTGACTCACTGGTCGACAAAACTCGGGGCGGAGAAATAGAACGGCTAGTGTCTTCGCCGTCTTGTACAAAGCGACATCGAAGCTTTTTATTCGATAATGCGCGCTTATCTGTTCGCGCCCACATATTTGTGAGTTCATCTGCCATCTCCTTTGTCGATTTCGTCTTAACCATTTCATAGAAACTATCATCTACGTAGATACTCTGTACCAGGAACTTGTCGTTAGCCAGTTGGCGCTCGGCCGGATCCAAGCGCAATAGTTCGTCACAATCCTTCTGTTGTAGTATCACCATGATAGAAGCAGAGCCATTAGGCCCGAGTAGTCCCTGGTTCGGTCGTACTAGGTAGCGTAGAGGCCGCGTCGTCTTGACTTTAAAAGCGACCTGTCGGTCGTCTGCCACATTGCGGATTGTCAGCACCGCCTGAGGTGCCATCTGTGGCTGCAAATGAAAAGATAACGATTCGGCCGGATCTAGGATCACGCTCGAATTAGGCGCCAGCGCTACGTCCACGCCATTGCTCGTCATCGGTGCTTGACGTATTGATCGACGTTACGTGACTGCGATTCTCTGTACCCCCTTTACTTACGTAAGCCACACTGATCTGGTTTTATTAGCCAAAATTTGAGTGCATAGAATTATTTAAAAGAAAAAAGAAAGCTAAGTAGTTGTGATCAACAGCCGCACACAATTTAGCGAGACTTTTTACTCAAACAGTTTGGTCTTGTTCCGTGACTGGCGTATAAAGCCGCTGCAGCTGACCAAGTTGCGCTTCGTAATCCTCATCGCTCAAACGTGCCATAGTCTCAGCTACTGATTGAAACGTATTCATAGCACGCTCGTACTTTTGCGTCTGCTGGGGTGTCTCGAATTTAGGAGGAGGAGGATGACCCAGAATCGATTGCGACAACTGGCTGCGCCGCATCATTTTTAACAGAACGTCCGGGTACGCCTCATAAATTTCGCGACTTACTGGATGATTATGCGTCACCACCTATAATAGAAAAGCCTTAATGTCAGATCTAATTCAAGTTTAGTTGTAATAGTAGTACTCGCCTGATCCGTGACGATGACCATGTACTTCGAAGGATTGTCAGCTGGGGTTATTTTAACATTGATCTTGGCCATGCAGCCAATACCACGATATTTCTGTCCTGGCCGGGTGTTTGCACCACGACAACGCGCCTTCATGGCGTGAGTACACATATATATCCGATGGTGATGAATGGCTTCATCTGGGAACTCGGCGCGACGTCCACGTGAGCTTTTGTTATTCAGCATGACCTTTTGTTGGTTGCGACGGTAAGCTTCAACACTACAAGATGATCGCATGCGGAAGGGCTGGAATGTCTCCTGCATGTACATTTCAAAGTACGAATCGAAGTCGAACCACGAGTTGAACGACACGCGTGCCATACGTTTGCTATCAAATTTGACATTAGCGATTGCATTCGGGTCAGCACCAATACTTGCAGCAGCCGCAGCCATAACTGCGTCTTCTACCGGCGTAGACGTATCAGTTTTCATTGCCTCTGGGGGCGGCACTTCAGCCGCAGCAGCTGCAGCTGCATCAAATGCAACGTCCACACCGACGGATTCTTTTAGCTTTGCCACAACCTCGCTAATTTCGTCATCCTGAGTAGCTTGCGAGTCCTGCGAGTCGCCTGGGTCGTCAACAGTTGCGTGTGGAACGGCATTCACTAATGAATCAACGTCATCCTCGCGTTCGTGACGCTTTACACCCACAACTGTATCGTTCTCTAGCTTTGTGATGTCTTCCACCTCAACTTGTGTTGTTGTTGCGTCCTCGTCAGCACCATTTGCTACCATTATGGTCGGGTGGTCGGATCGATTCAAAAGAAAGACTGCCACACCAGACTGGTGTGGCGCGGTCCACAATTGCAACATAATAACCTCAATTGCCCCCCCCTTTTTCCATGGAAAACACCTGAACTAACGCTGTACACCACACATTTCGGTACCTGTCGGTTTCATGTAAAACACATGGAACTAATGTAGCTTACATATTATTGGCAATTGGTACGCTGTACCATGTGTCGCCCAGCCAACCAAGTGCCTAGCAACCAACGAAAGGTGAATGCAGCAGGTCATTTGGTAATCATTCAGCACCGTCAGACTCTTCTCTATACAGATTATGGCCAAGAAAGTAAAAGCTCCTGTTGTCGTGAAACCTACGTCCAGCAACAGCAGCGCGTCATCAAACCTGAGCAGCAAGAAATCGCCGCAGAAAAAGGTTGTAATGGCCAAGAAGGGCGTTAAACCTGCTCCAAAGAAACCTGTTGACTCCGATAGCTCAGATTCGAGTTCAGACGAGGAAGATGATCGTGCTAAAGTAGTTGCTGCTGAGGTATCGACTACCAAGAAAACATCGACCTCTGACTCTTCAGATTCTTCCTCTGACGACGATGATTCCAAGCCGGATACATTGACAAAAAAAGTGAGTTCCGATTCAAGTTCGGATTCTTCTTCAGACGAAGAAGAAGCACCTAAGACCAAAGTGACAGCGTCCAAGAAGGTGGAAACCAAGAAGGAGGGTTCGAAAAAATCTCCTTCCACGAACGCAACGAAAAAAACCACATCCGCCAAGGTAGCTGCTAAAAAAGAGAGTTCTGACTCCAGCTCGGACTCTTCATCGGAAGAAGAGGAGGTCCCTAAGAAAACGGTGACGCCCACGAAAAAAGCCACGCCCACGAATAAAGCCACGGCCACAAAAAAAGCCACACCCACGAAAACAGTTGCGCCCACAAAAAAAGCCACACCCACAAAGAAGGTTGTTGCCACGGCAGAGAGTTCTGATTCCAGCTCGGATTCCTCGTCGGACGAAGAAGAGCCCCCTGCCAAGAAGACCACATCCACACAGAAGGTGGTTGGCAAGGAAGAAAGTTCTGGATCGAGTTCTGACTCTTCGTCGGACGACGATGAGGCTCCTGCGAAAAAGACCACTACCACGCAGCAGGTGGTCGCCAAAAAAGAGAGTACCGAATCTAGCTCTGATTCTTCGTCGGACGAAGAGGAGACTCCTGCAAAGAAGACCACACCCACGAAAAAGGTAGCAGCGACAAAGAAAAGCTCTGAGTCAAGCTCTGATTCTTCAGAGGAGTCATCTGAAGACGTGGATGATTCCAAAAAGCCACTCCCAGGTAGCTCAGTAGATACAAAGATGGAGGATAGTGACAGCTCTTCATCGTCCTCTTCTGATGAAGAGGACACAAAGAAACCATCTGCCAACAAGACTGCAGCAAAGAAAGAAGAATCTTCGTCCTCGTCAAGTGATTCCGACTCATCATCAGAGGAGGATTCGACTCCTATTGTCTCTAAAAAGCGTAAGAATTCGGATGTCGGTGAAAAATCTAATAAGGTCCATAAGCAGGCAAATGGTGATGCTGCTGGTGTAACGAATCCACAAAAGGCGCTTGAGATTTTTATTGCTGGTTTGCCGTGGTCTGCGACGGAGGAAGAGCTAAAAGAGCATTTTGCTGGATGTGGTGAGGTGACTGCCGCCCGTATAGTAATGCAAAATGGTCGCTCTTCTGGTACTGCTTTCGTTACTTTTGCTACTGCTGAAGCTGCGGAAGCTGCTCTCACCATGGATGGTCAGGACTTTGGTGGCCGCTGGATGAAAATTCGTACGGCTGAAAAGAAGAATATGTTTGATGAAAAGCCTGAGGGTTGCACGAGTGTTTTCATCGGGAATCTTTCTTGGGATGTAGACGAAAACACAATTCGTGAGACTTTTGGTGAGTGTGGAGAGATTATCAATTGCCGTTTGGCTACAGACCGCGAGACTGGCGAGTTTCGTGGATTTGGACACATTGATTTCGCCGAAACAGAAGCTGTTGATGTAGCTGTAAAACTTGCGGGATCATACGTAAATGGTCGTGCCATTCGTGTTAACTTTGCAAAGTCACGCGATATGAACGGTGGTGGTGGCCGTGGAGGTTTTGGTGGACGCGGTGGTGGACGCGGTGGCCGAGGAGGACGTGGGGGTTTTGATGGTGGCCGCGGTGGCCGTGGAGGTTTCGATGGTGGCCGTGGTGGAGGCCGCGGCTTTGGTGGTCGAGGTGGGGGCCGTGGAGGTGGTCGTGGTCGTGGTGGGGGCCGTGGTGGACGTGGCGGACGTGGTGATGGCCCACCAAAGCGTCAGCCGACTTCTATTCAGAACTTCCAGGGTAATAAGAAGACTTTTGACTAATTTAATGGGGCAACCTTATATAGACCAGGGATACGATCACAGCAAGCCACTTCTAAAAGCTCAATGTCGTGCATTGAGTAGTTTATCAATTCAATTCTGTTGACATAGATTCAAAATTACGTCTTTATGTCTGCGACTCAAAAATTAGGTTTTTGACACATCAACATTATCGATTCGAGGAACGAGGTGTTCTTGCCGCACTCGGACTTCGACTATATCTCGAGTGTCTCAATGTGTGGCGTCTGTGCGACTTTCTTTCTTTCTGTTCCTTTTTCGCCTTTTTCTTCCTGACCTTTTCGTCACGCAACGAGCGATGTTTGTGACGTTTCTTGTGCTTCGTACGCAACTTTCTTTCTTTTGTCCGTTGTTCGGCATTCTGACCGTCAACTTTATTCAGTTCTTTTGTCTCAAAATCGTCATAATGTAACATCGTGGCATTTGCCTCATCCGACGAGCTCGATTCTTGTGGATTTGATTGGTGTCGATCATGTATTCCTCGCGCCGACGAAAGGACTGTCGAAGGCAGCCGAACAGATTCTTTTTGCTGCGTAGTTGATTCGGTACTCTCAACATTGCACTGATCACTGTTGCCCTCAACACCACTCTCATCGTCACTGTCATCTTCACTCAAAGACTCGTCAGATGGCTCAAATATTGATTTAAGCAAATCTAGAGATGCCTTTTGAGCTGGTGCCACTGGAAGTTGATTTCCACCTGCTGCTACATCGACTGTACTCACTTCAAAGGACTTGCCAATATTGTCGGACTTTCGATATGCAGCTCGACCAGAAGCAAATTCGACCAAATGAGGCACAAGTTCTTTGTCGTACAAATTTTGCTTTATATCAGAACTATCGCGGGGTCCTTCCGATCCTGTCGGCCCGACACATTTAACGTGAAATCGCTTACATAGAAGTGATTTTGGAATCCACGGACTTGTCGATCGATATGACGCTTTCAATATAGGCTGCTTTGAGGAAACAGAGTCACTTGTATTCTCGTCGGCGATCGATGTCGATGACACAAATCTCTTTGAAATGGACGCAGAGATTGAAGCACGTAATTGCTTCCCGCCACAACTTTCTCCTAAAATTTGCCGATCTTTACGCGCTGCGATAGAAGGTGCACGCTCTACATCCGATAACAAAACATCTTGTTTTGCATTGGCTGCAGCCTTAAAAATTTTTGCTTTTTGCTCTTCACCCAACAAATCAAAAACACTTCCAGTTGTAACGGTCGCGGCATTACCAGCTTGGTCTTGTACATCTTGACCAGCGTCTTCAAGTAGAGCGCCGCGCTGCTTCGCTGTCACGAGAACTCCACTCTTAACAATGTCGTTGAGTAGATGGTACTTGCGATACAAAGACGTTACGGCATCATATTGATCACTTTCATTGTCAAAGCGATGATAAGCTTTAAAATTAGTTGGTACGTTTAGATGAAAATTCACAGCTTTTGATGGGGATTCCTTCGCTATTGCCAGCTCAAATCCAGGAAGGACAGGACGTCCATCAGAACACAACGCTCGGCTAAGCCTTAACGTCTCATGTTGTGACGATGATTCTAGCCGTTTGACATCGTTTTTTGCTCTTAGTGGCGCGATTGCCCGATCAAAATCATCCATCGAAATCGTCCCATATACATCAATATCGTCGTTTTCTTCAAGCGCACTCAATCCGTAGCCATTGGTCGCCCGGTTTGTACCATTTGTTGACTTTAACGCGTCCACAAATGAAACTATGTGACGATGAGATCCTTCTCGCTCCTTTTGTTTATTCTTCTGTTGCTCTTTAAATGCGTGAAACTCCGGGGCATCTCGATACGGATCAAATCCTGCACCATATCGATCCAATTTCGGCTTAGGAAAGGAAGTTCGCACATCAAACACTTTTCGTGGCGGCACGTACACAACTTCTTCATCATCTGGCTCTGAGTTTTGCTCTTCATCACCTCGCAGCACTTCTTTTGGTTGTTTATTCTCCACTTTATCGAACTTGCGTCGTCGAACTGGTTGTCCAATACCGTGGCCTTCCTTCCACCCCATCCGTTTAAGTAATTTCATTCCAATAGAGTCATTTACAGGCAAATTCCAATCGTTCGGCCACAAAAATCCGGGAATGGCAGAAACGACAGATTGATCTGATTGCTGCTCTTGCAGTCGTCGTTTTGCTCCTGTTTGCAAGGTATCATAGCACTCCGTAGTCTCTAGTCGTTTCCCCAATAGTGGATCATCCTCTTCATCCATAAAGTCTTCAGGACGTTGCTCCACATATGACGAGCGATTACTACGAGAAGAAGAGAAAGTTTTGGGAGTCCATCCTTCCTTACTACCAACAGAGTTGTAGTGACCAGCTGAAAAGCCACCAGTGAAAGCTCCGTGAAAACGTCGACGACCTTGTGCGTCTGTTGCCTGCATTTAGAGAAATAAAAGAAATATACGAAGGCTATCTGTCATCGTATCAGCTCAGTATTCGCAAGAGAGGAAGACGCACCTCCTGGTCGCGGACCCTACGCTTCATTTGACAAGGTCTAAAAAATGATTTAATCAAAGTTCAGCTACACAAATAAACTTTGTTTAAGCTTATTGTTCTGTTATTTGAAAAGCATATAGTTTCGAATGCCTGCACGAATGGTCGACTTCAGTATCAAAATGGATTGTTCCTAATCAATAACGAACAAACTATTATCTCGATTGCAAACTACAATACATGACAAAGTAGAAAATATCGGCAAAGGCCAGATGGTGAGACCTTAATCAAGGTAGAGTTGAGTGCATAATGCAAAGAGGGCAAGTGAGATCCTCATTAAGTTTCGCGAGGATGCACTCATCATGAAAGCAATGGCCACAATTCAACGTAGTTAGACTCGCTGTGACGTGAGTGTGTTGCTTTTTGCTATCGTCAGGAGATCCACATCTGATCGCTGGAGCTGCTGATACGATTGCCACCGTGTTGTCACTAACAAGCGCCTGGTGACAGATCGAACAATCCTCAGAATCTTGGGTCGGGTCGATTTCGCTAAAACAGCTTTCTCGTCCACTCATCATTGAAGACCGTTCGCTTGATCGCACGAAATCCGAGCGATTAAAGACCATACCTTCGAAAAGAAAGTCGTAGATCAATTGTGGTAATTTAGTCGACGACACTGCACATTCAAGATTGCGATTTTGTTTCGCCATACGCAAGAGAGTCGAAAGGTACGTTTGTAAATGCGTCAGACGCGCAGAAATCACACTTGGGCTTCGCGATCGAAAGATACGACGGCGTGGAAAATGATTCGCCGCATACATGTACAGCCACGGGCAGTTTGATGGACAAAAATGACCGTAATCGAGTACGCTAGCAACTGCTTCTTTTAGTTCGTAAAACTCTTGAAAAGTCCTTCCCATCTCCCACGTCTGGTCCAGCGCTGTATTATTGATGCGCATAATATAGCGTGGGCTAGCGAGTTTGTTTTGCCCGGGTACTACAGCCTTAATAAATTCCACGTGCACATTATCAAGCAGTGTCTGCTCTAAACTTGGAGTTGGAGGAAGGTGAGGTGTTGGTCTTTGTTTCGAATGCGAAAACGAGAGACTATTTTTCTGTGCCTTGAGACGTCGCAACGGTATAGGCGGTGCGATTGGGAATGAAATGGACTTGCGAACAGCCATGGAACTGACGTACACGAATGTTCAATAAGTTCGAACGATGACCAAGTGGTTGAGTTTGCGGGAGACAATTGGCGAATGTGAGTACACAGCAGCTGGAGAGCAGTCGTTCTCTTGTATACATCTGCTGTATATGATTTCTTTTGAAAGGTTGAAAGGTTTGTGATATTATAAACTTACATAGTATCATTCTCGCGTCAGGTCGAGCTGTTGTGATGCACGCAGTGTACAAGCATAATTGTTCCAAGCTACGACCGGCCTGGATATTTGGTGCATTCTCGCAACGCTTTGCTTTAGCAATATGACAATAGTCGGATATTTGTGACCAGGTTGTTTTAAACGAAGGTTAAGATGACACATTCACGCTTCGTATCCTGTGAAATAACATACATAAGTGAAATAGATCGTGAAGCCGGAAGGATTGTTATCTCATTGCGCACGTCATCGTAACCAGATATCCGCATACGACAAAAGCACTCAACATCACTGCATCTAATAACTGGATAGCCAAAATACAAATTCGTGAAGACGACTACGGTCATCTACAAGACAACAATCACTAGAAACGAAGAAAGACCGATTGTAAATGTTGCCATTTCAAATCTTGAATGCTCGAAATCTGATAACTCTTACTGCTAATATCAAGTTAGCTTTTCCTCACCTAGAAAATTTATGCCCGTAAAACGTAATGGTTCAAAATGGATCTCATATGCTTTAAATTCTGTTTTATGCACGGCTTCATGGACCCTTACGTAACGTGCACCAGCACCTCTTATATACATATCAAATCCCAGCCCTATCACAGACACAGCTGGTAAAATGTACTACCTCCCTTTTTTGGGTCGATAATTACCGTAGGAGTATGAAAAGTAGGCTACGGCCTTCAGATTTACTAATCTATGCGGTTAGGTGGCTTTTATAATTATGTTTACGCCACACAGATTGAGTTTTGCTTATGTAAGAAAGACACTATTTTGACCAGCTTACTAATCACTGAAAACACTCAAGTGCGATATTAACTAGGGATGGGGACGTTAAGGGACGGGAAGTTCCCGTAAAAAAAATTTGATCCCATCTT